ACCTGATACTGTGGCGGGATGAAGGCCACAATACCTGATACTGTGGCGGGATGTAGGCCCCAGTACCTGATACTGTGGGGGGATGTAGGCCCCAGTACCTGATACTGTGGGGGGATGTAGGCCCCAATACCTGATACTGTGGGGGGATGTAGGCCCCAGTACCTGATACTGTGGGGGGATGTAGGCCCCAGTACCTGATACTGTGGCGGGATGTAGGCCCCATACCTGATACTGTGGCGGGATGTAGGCCCCATACCTGATACTGTGGCGGGATGTAGGCATCAATAAGCAGCTGATGTAGTTTAGAGTCTCGCGAGAGGTGTCTGATGGTCTCGAGGAGCTCCTCGGTCTCGCGCTGCTGTTCGGTCTGCATGTCGCTGAGCTCGCCCTTAGCGCTCACGTAGAGGCGGTAGACCAGCTTCATCTTGCGGGTCTTGCCTGCTGCCTCGTCTTGTAGCGAACTGTAGCGCTCCTCTAGGTCTACACGCTCCGCCTGCAACACGCTTAATAGGTCTACACGCTCACTACACGCTCTGCCTGCAACACGCTTAATAGGTCTACACGCTCCGCCTGCAACACGCTTAATAGGTCTACACGCTCTGCCTGCAACACGCTTAATGGGTCTACACGCTCCGCCTGCAACACGCTTAATACGCTCACACAACATCATGTACACAATAAGTTCTCACTGTCAGCAAGGAGCTGTACACTGAAAAAAATTTGTGGGTTTAGATTGCCCACTTTGATGAGTCAACCGCGACCCAATAGCCGATGCACATATAACTTAGCCCATTTGTGGGTCAAGCTGACTCACTTGGGGCGTCAACTCGCGCATGACGCCACCCGTAGCATATATACGTAGTGAGCATATGAGCGTCAGAACAATTTAACGGGACAAATTTAAAGGACCAGTAATAGGTCAGTATGACACATAAATGGGGCAAGTGAGTCAATTCAAAAACTACATCGATATTTGGACGCGGTTGGCTCATCTAAGTGGGTCATCCCGACCCACCCACCCATTTATCTCAGTGTAGTGCTCCCAAAGTATTATGAAAATCTAGATCTATTATTAATTTGTTTTTATACTTTTTTCTATGTAATGTTCCACACGTCAATTATTTTATATTCATGCATTTTTAATAATCAATTCATTTCACGCTTGATATCACCTTCTGCGTGATGGAATGCAGGTTGATTATTCTAACATTAATGAATTTTCATTCATCAATTCATCAAATTCAATATTATTCAGTATTAACTCCATTAATACCTCCATCTATACATGAGGGCCCGCATAATTATCCTTCTTATATTCATGAGTTCATCATTCATTAATTTATTGAATATTGTTAAATACTAAGTCTCTTCATACCTCCTTCTAAATGATGGCCCGCATTTTTATCCTTTTTATATTCATGAATTTATCATTTACTAATCTACTCAATATTATTAAATACTAACTCTGTTCATATCTCCTTCTATATGACGGCCCGCTTAATTATCCTTCTTATTTTCATGATTTTATCATTCTTTAATCTATAGAATATTATTAAATACTAACTCTCTTCTCACCTCCTTCTGAGTGATGGCGGCCCTCAGCTGCTCTTCATGCCTGCGCCTCTCCTCGAGCTCCTGGGCGCTCTTCTCCAGCAGCCGCTGTTGCTCCTCCGCCTTTTCCAGTAAATTTTCCCCACCAACGAGAATTTTACGTTCGAGGCCAGCGAGGCGCTGCTTTAGGGCCTCCGCCTCTTTAGCCGCTTTCTTCAACTCCGCCTCTTGTTTCTCTAAATTTATCCTAGCTTTATCCCTCTCTTCTTCCTCCATATCTTTACGTTCGTTTAACAAGTGCCTCTCTTCGTCCAACTGTTTACGTAGTTCTGCAAGCTCTTCATCAGTGTAGCGCTTCTTTTTCTTCTTCACAGGTTTATCCAGTGGAGAATTTTCTCCTGAATATTCTTCATCAGTTTCTTCTTCAGTCTCTTCTTCGTCTCCTTGTTCCAGCTGCTCCCGTAGCCTGTTGATCTCTTCCTGCAGCTTACGTAGCAGCGCGTCTTTTGGATCTTCGTTGACGCGAGCCTGAGGCAACAGTTGACAGGAGTGTGAGGCAACAGTTGACAGGAGTGTGATGGAAAAGTTGACAGGAGTGTGAGGCAAAAGTTGACAGGAGTGTGAGGAAAAAGTTGACAGGAGTATGAGGGAAGAGTTAACAGGAGTATGAGGCAACAGTTGACAGGAGTGTGAGGCAACAGTTGACAGGAGTGTGAGGCAAAAGTTGACAGGAGTGTGAGGCAATAATAGAATTGAGTGTGAGGCAACAGTTGACAGGAGTGTGAGGCAACAGTTGACAGGAGTGTGAGGCAACAGTTGACAGGAGTATGAGGGAAAAGTTGACAGGAGTGTGAGGGAAAAGTTGACAGGAGTGTGAGGGAAAAGTTGACAGGATTATGAGGGAAAAATTGACATGAGTATGAGGCAAAATATGACACGAAAGGTTGACTTTCGCCCACATCTCATGCATTGTTTTAAAACGTCCCAAATTCTATTCAAATTCATCTTTAGGGTTTGATTTGTCCATCAAATTTAGCAAAGCTGATTAAAAAACATCGTGAACTTTAGTTTTGTGCCAATGGCACAAAGTGCGTCTGCCGCACTTAGCTTAAAACCAATCAGGGGCCGTATTATCAAAACTTAGTAAGTACGCAAAATCGACGTACGAGTGGCGTAAGTGCTGACTTGATGACGTCACTCTAGAGATGGTATTATCAAAACATTTGCTCGGGAAGATACGTAACGTAACTGTACGCCTGCTCGGAGATGTCGTAAGTGGAGTTCTCCACAAGTTTAGAGTGTCTGCTGAAGCGATAGGAAACTATTGATTTACTAGCAAGTAGCAACACCTTGACTTGTTATAGAATTTTGTCAATAATCCGACAGTGCGTAGCATACACGCATAGAATGATGGCTCTACTTGTGAAATCTCCACTACTTGATCGTGCAACATTTGCACGATCAAAATATGTGATCGTGCTAAACAGTGCTATTGGAAAAAATTCAATTGAGTTGATGCCAGAAACTGATTTTGTTTTCATTTTACGTTATAATTGGCATGACCCACTTAGCATGACCCACCAGGCAGCAGATGACCCACTTAGCATGACCCACTTGGCATGACCCACTTAGCATGACCCACTTGGCATGACCCACTTAGCATGACCCACTTAGCATGACTCACCTGGTTGCAGATGTTCTTGGCACGGTTGGCGTAGCGCAGCGTGCTGATGGTCTCATCGTAGTTGTAGTCCGCGGGGCCGACGTTAGCGCACTGTGGGGGGAGGGGTGAGTGGGGCTATGTCTATCAGATTATCAATTATATACATAAAAATTAATTCCAAACGAAATTTCAATATGAGAAGAATGAAGAAACAGCCTAGTAAAAAAATATAACTCAGTACTCACTGCAGTGAGTGACAGAGAGCGCATTTTCTCGTCAACGAAAACGTGAAGTCACGGACGGACAGACAGACAGACGGACACGACGAGCACAATAGCGCATTTTTTTTCATAAATGAGAAAATGCGCTAAAAATTATTAAATATCAAATCATAGTAATATAGAGAAGTGAGATTAACTTTACAAAACATGGCAAAAAAAATAATAATAATAATCCCCTGAGCATGACAGTCTTGGAGTTGCCGCCCAAGAAGTCCTGTAGGAGTCTGGTAAGCTTGACCTTACAAAAGATAATAAAGATTAACAATAATAATCCCCTGACCATGACGGTCTTAGACTTGCCGCCCAAGGAGTCCTTAAACATCAAAATAAGAGGAATGTAGAGAAGTGAGAAAAACCTAACAAAATATAATAAAGATTAATAATAACAATCCCCTGACCATGACAGTCTTGGAGTTGCCGCCCAAGGAGTCCTGCAGGAGTCTGGTGAGCTTGGAGTTCCTGTAAGGGATGTGCGTGGAGCGGCCGTCGACGAGGGCTGAGATGACGTTGCCGAGCGTCGACAGCGACAGGTTGATCTTGCTGGCCTCCTTCAGACGCTGGCCTGTCGCTCCTGTCTTGCTCTGCCGCTCTGAACCCTGCAATACCAACGTAATGAACGTATCATGAGACAATGATACAAAGTACCAGCTAAAATACCAGAGTTTCATAAATAATTACTCAGTAGGTACTCACTGCAGTGAGTGACAGAGAGCGCATTTTCTCGTCGACGAAAACGTGAAGTCACGGACGGACAGACAGACGGAAGGACGGACATGGCAAACGCACAATAGTGCATTTTTCCCATAAATGAGAAAATACTCTAAAAAATAATACAAAAGACCCTACAAAAATACAGCAGTATCATGGGAAAATAATACAAAATTCTCTGCAAAAATACGGCAGTATTATAAGAAAATAATATAAATTACTCTGCAAAAATACAGCAGTACGGTATAATAAGAAAATAATATAAAATACTCCTCAAAAAATACAGCAGTATAATAAGAAAACAATACAGAAGACCATACAAAAAGAAAATTATACGAAATACCCTGCAAAAAATACAGCAGTATCATAAGAAAATAATACAAAATACCCTGCATAAAATACCGCAGCATCATAAGAAAATAATATAAAATACCCTTCATAAATAGTGCGGTATCATATAAATACTATGCAGTAAATGGCGCAATATTATATAAATACCTTGCAGTCAATACCACACTATGGTATGAATGCGTACTATGCAATAACAGTAAACATCTTAGAATAAAATACTCTACGGTAATTATCACTATAAAACAAATACCCTTCGATTTATACCGATGCCTAACACAAATAACCCGCGGTATTTGGTAACCACTGCTATCTTTACTCCGACTGTACCAAATTTTAACCGCACAATGCAAGTAGATACGACATACACTCCAGACCACCATGAATATTTGTAATCGCTAATATTTACTTTCAAATGACAGTATTTCGATAATTCAGCTATTAAAAGTTATATATTTTGTTGAGAATTTACTTTCAAATTATTGTATTTTAATACACTAACTATTGAAAGTTATATATTATGTTGAGAATTTACTTTCAAATCAAAGTATTTTGATAAAAGTTATATATTATGTTGAGAATTTACATTCAAATAAAAGTATTTCGATACACCAACCATTAAAAGTTACATATTATCTTTAGAATTTACTTTCAAGTGACAGTATTTTGATACATTCAGCTATTGAAAGTTATAATATATTTAGTTGATAACTCACAGCGAGGTCAACGAGGTGTAGCTTGCCGACGCGCCAGTGTTGCTTGGCGTCCAGGCCGATCTGTGCGCACTCGATGGTGATGGTGAAAATTGCGTGACTGCGTGAACTGTGCGTGTTCATGTTCGTAGCTCCCACGGATCCTGTGAAACACGAAATTATTGCGTGAACTGTGCGTGTTCATGTTCGTGGCTCCCACGGATCCTGTCAGGAAACACGAAATTATTGCGTGAACTGTGCATGTTCATGTTCGTGGCTCCCACGGATCCTGTAAGATGAAGTTGCTTGTTTGTAATGCTTTGAGACCTGGTCTGGTAGTTAGCTTGTCTCTGGTGGTAGTAGAAACGGCTGTTCAATGTCACAATTGTTACCCCAATGACTCCAACATAATCCAAATAATGAAGAAGTCTACAACCTTCCTTGAAGCAAAATTTATAGAATACAACGGGTCCTTGGTGAACTCTCGCTTCTTTGCAGGTACCGTTGTTGCGTACATTCTGGGTTTTGACGTTTTTTAGAGTGTCACGAAGCCTGTTGAATTCATCGATGATCTTGAGATGAAGTCGCGACAACCTTGACAACATGCAACGTCAAACCCTGGACCATACCGAGCAATGGCAAATGCAAAAAAGTGGAAGTTCTCCAAGAGGCCGGTGTAATCTGTGAATTTTGCTTCAAAGAAGGTTGTAGACTTCTTCATTATTTGGATTGCAATCGGGTAATTGCAGTAACGACTACGACATTGAACTGCCGTTTCTCCCACCATCTGAGACAAGCTCACAAACAGACCAGGTCTCAAAGCATTACAAACAAGCAACTTCATCTGAAAATTGTCGATGAATTTAACAGGCTTCGTGACAACATCATCAAACTCCGAACTAAACGCGATAATGGCACTTGCAAAAACTCGGGAGTTATCCGAGGGCCGTTGTGGTCTATAAATTTATCTTCAAAGAAGGTTGTAGACTTCTTCATCTTTTGGACTACATCGGACACTTTGGATCAACAACCAGGACACAGAGACGCTGTCTTATTAGCTACCTCCAACCCGGAGGGCAAATGAACCACACGCCCTCACTCATATCACAACCAGACCGTCACTCGCTTGGTGCTGAAGGAACCCACCAGCATTGTCATCAAGCAGTGGCCTGACATCAATCGACCGAAGATGGCTGGCCTCATCGTCTCTACGAATTGGACGCCTGCTACCTCTTTCTTAACTACCGGATTTGCCTGAACATTGAAATGGTTTTCAGAGTGATTTTCTGATTCAAAATTTCACTGTAGTATCCTATTTACGTATATTATGTACTTATTTCCACCAAAATTTCAATCTTTAATGCACTTTGTAACTTGAAAGTGAATGTTTGTTACATTCGAAACGTCGTTAGTAAACTAAAACTACTTCCTGATATATGCCTTTCGATCTACCAACATCATCTGAAGAATTGTCCGACTCTTTGATAATCTATATCAACGAATTCCCTGGTAGTTAATCGCACGCGTATAAATTATATATTATCATATATATCATATAATTGTGATATAGATAATTACATAGAGATATGATGAAGATAATCTCCACAATTTCGGTGGTTCTCCCGTAACCACCACCTGAGCCTCCCAATGTGTGTGCATCACAAACAGTGAACCTTTTTATAACAACAAGATACAACAATGGCTTGTCTTGAAGCTAGAGTTTGTGATTACATTATCAATTCTACGGTTGGATTTTATTTCCCCATTTTATTTTTTTTTCGTTTAGAATGAATCACTGCGTTCTGTACATTCCTCGTTACCCAATATCTTGAATCTGGCACAGCCAGATTCATTTTAAAATATTAAATGAATTATCTAAATTATAAAATTGAGGGTTATGTTTCCCGATTGTCTTCACTCCAGCACAGCAAGTTCCATTCTATAATAAAGATTTACCTAATTAATAAGCTAACTTTCATGTTTCCCACTAGTTTTCAATCTTGCACAGTAGTTCAATTTAATAATAATTGAAGATTTGTGTTATTTATGAATTACTGTTCTAGATGTCAAGTGTTTTCACTCTTAAATAGCCAGTTTAATTCTACTTATAATAATACAGAATATATATTAATAATGAATTACTATTTTTCTTGCCGAGCATCATGATCTGATCAATTCTATAATAATATAGAATATATACTAATAAAGAATTACTATTTTTGTTGCCGAGCGTCATGATCTTATCCATCTCATCAGCGTTGTGCACGACGTGCGTGATGAGATCCTTGACGTACACGCCTACATCAGGCCTCTCCTTCACCTCCAGCCGCGTGCTCTGGTCTGACCGCAGCAAGTCCCTCACTTCTTCGTTGTAGATCTCCAGGTACGATACACGTACTAGGAACCTGTGACACAACATTTGACAATAAATCACAATGATTTGGGTATGTTTTCCATTTTCCTTCATATGGTACACATAAAACTCCATAGTTGTAGAAAAAAATCCAATACCCAGGGTGCACATGCACAAGGCAGCATTTGATAAACGTTTGATAAATTTCAGAATTGGGATCAAGGATTTAAGTAGATGTTACGGTTCAAAAGAACAGAATGTTATGAAAATTTTATACTGAAGATCAGGAAAAAGATATGGTAAGTTTAGAATTTTAAAGAGAAGTTAAAGTTTTCAAACTATGGAGTAAAAACTATAATTTATAACATCTTATAAATTATTTATTGTTTTGCAAAAAATTTGTAAAGTAATAAAGTAGCACAGTTAATATCACTAAATCAGGACATTTAAAAGCATAAAAACCTAAATTGAAACATTAACTGATTTAAACAAGGGATGTGTAGTTATATCTTTCTTAAATAAATACAAAAACTGAGTACAGTATTACTTAAAACATACTTACTTAAAATGAACATTTTTCAATATCAAACCCACTTTTGGTCCTCCTCGGCTTTGGCAATATGCCCAAAGATGTGTGCAAAGGAGTTTGGTATGATGCCCTTAAGCTCAGGTTTGTCACGAATGCCCTCCATTGTAAATGTTTTTCCAGTTCCAGTTTGTCCATAAGCAAAGATGGTGCCATTGTAGCCCTCAAGTACATTGTCAACAATAGGACGAGCAGCTAAGTTGTACACATCAACCTGAAAATATTACGGCAACAATGAATGTTGATTAGGGCAACTTTTGGAGCTGTGGTGGTGCAGTGGTGCAGTGGTGAGAGACTCTGTCTCTGTCACCCAGCGCCGGGGTTTGAGTCCCACCGAGGAAAAGTTCTACCGGGAAGCTCAGCTCATGGTCAATTCAGCCATTCATCCAACTCTGGTTGATAAATGGGTGGTACCTGGCTTGTCCAGGGTGTTGTGTAATGCAATCAAAATGGTTCTGGCAGGTCAGCGAGCCAGTGATGGTCGTAGAACTACCAGTGGCACCGAGTGCCTGGAAAAACTGACCTATCACCCCCCCTCCCTAGTCGCCACTACCAGGATGGGCAATTACAACAACAACAGGGCAAGTTTTAGGGCAACAATGAATGAAAATGAAAGCATGTCTGTCTGGTTGATCTAACAGTACATATAAGATGGCTTTATTTAATATAAAAAATTTTGAAAACATGAAAATAACTTTTGCAAACAAGTTTGACATGAAATATATTTAAAATAGTATAATTTTTAGCATAACATTTATCCAAAGCCACTTTGCATGAACTGATGAACAAGAGGCATAGTAAGAAATAAGGCTCTTCAGCTTTTTTTATTTCCTGAAGAGAAGATTTGATGCAATATATTACCTAAAATAATGGTTGTATTTACAATACTTGTGCACCCAAATAGGATGGAAATTGTTTCAAATTTGCTTAAAATAAATGGGAAGCACCAAGAATTACTTACCTGCTTGGAGTCAGGGCAGAAAACTGAGTCAAAAGTGAACATCTTGGGAGGCTCATCTGAAGAATGAGATGAGGCAGCCATATTTGGGTTTGTTACACTTACACAGCAAGCCTTTTGGTTCACCTATGAGAAGATTATAATTGCATGAACATGTTTAAAAAATAATTATAGTAAATGAAATTATGCATTAATAGGAAAAAATAATATAGGTTTAAGAATTATTTCTTAAAGATAACACTTCTAAAGAATCCAATGTCTCCAATGTTAAAGATGTACAATGAATTTTTCATTTTATTTTCGAATATTAAAAAATTAATTTTTCAATTTTTTTAAAAAGGTACCCAGTATATAACTTTTTTTCAAAATTATTTATTCTCTCAATTGATTCATGCATTGCCTCTGACTTCACACAAGTGTGCAAATGTTCAGATCAATTGGACAGGTAGAAGTGTGTCAAATATCAGTTATAAGATTTGTAGCTGACAAAATTATTTTTTTAATTTTTTTAATATTGAAAAAAAAAATTTAATTTTTAAAATCACTTATTTTGTCATTTGATTCTTGCATTGTCTCCAACTTTACGCAAGTGTGCAAAATTTCAGATCGATAGGATAAGTAGAAATGTGTCAAATTTTGATTATATTATTTGCGGCAGACAGACAGACAGACAGGTAGACAGACAAACAAGCAGTGAAGTTTAAAGAGAAGTGTTGTAATAACAGAAAATTTGGAAAATTAAATGTTTTCTTGAGCATCTTTCCCAGTTTAGACAGTTTATCATAATAATAAGTAACATTGTCCAATTTCACATGGTAGCTATAACCAATTATATGATTTGCTGCACTATACAAAAATGACCTATTTCAGTATCAAACAATTTGAATGAAAAATTAAGTTTTACACATGGTATAAACTTTACACAGATACCAAATACAATTTAGGTGTTTTGAGAAACTTACTTCAACCACATTTGTGTGGCCATCTTTAATTTCCTTTTCACTGAGTGGCCGCACACGAACCACGACACGAACTTTTTCATCATTGCCACCTTGAGATGACCCAACTTGCAGAGGCTGAAATGACAATTGGTATTAAAAGCATTATTCTTTCACTAGAACTCTATCATCATTTTAGAATGACACACACATAAATAAGAATGCCATTGCCACATTCTATGCCTGCATAGATGTAGAACATATCTACTTTCCAAGCTATGACTGGAGCTTTCCTTCCATTTTTACAGCTGCAAGATTCCCACTACTGTCAATGATACATAAGATGCCACTCAGCAGATACCTACACAGACAGCACTTACCTTGCCACTAGTCACTAAAAATCTCCTAGGCTTCTAATACTGATCATACCAATTACCAACAAGCTACAGCATAGGGTTTGATAAGCACATGACGACAATAATATTGTTTTGATTGCAATAAAAATATATGGTTACTTAATTTATAATATAAATAATTAATAATATAATATTGAGCATTTTTCTAAAATTGCAAGCAAAATGCTAATTTTACAAGTAATTTTTGAAAATTACTGATGAAATAAGTAGTTTTTCTTATAATTTAATAGAGAAATAGGGATAAGCCATAAGAACATAGGAACAGGCAAAATTAGCCAGATTTATTATCATTGATAGTCAATGATAGACATTGTCTGATTCAGGGTGGCATCAGCGGCCCAGCCTAATTTTTCACTTTGGAAGGCCAGTAAATTGACTATTGTTTGTTATCATTGGCATAGATGGTAAATAACTTATCTTAAGGTAAATTTCAAACCAAAGTATACTGTACAAACACAATCAATTATGAATTATCAAGCTACAAAATTTGAAAATCTTAGTAATTAAATAATATAAATTTGGAGTCATGGGATTTTAGAATTGAGATGGAAATTTCAAATAAGTGCCTGTGGCTGTACTGTTTAATGATTTATCATTTATGCATCAAAACTCCAAGTAATAAACAAGTATGGACTAGGTATGGTGTAAACTCCTCAAAAATGACCATCTTGACATTTAGTCTTTTAAAACTAAGTACTTACTGGCATGATTGACTACAAACTTCACGTTTTGTCTGTTGAGAGTGTGAAATCAATTTTTAAAGCCAGTTGACGCTGTTTAGAATGTTAGCTTTCCTGCCCACGCCCAGGAGTTTCTCCAAGCCAGCTCAGGCCCAGCTGCAGGATTCAGCAGGACGTGCCAGACTGCCAGTCGTAGGTCGTTACTATGGCAACACAAGACAGTGACAACACCTCATTTTTGCCAGCTGCGCCTGCGTCTTGTATAAAACCGCAAAAAACAGCGCTTAGTGTTTCTGCATCCAGTTAACTTTTAGCGCTTTGAATACAGAGAGGAATTCTGGATACTTTTACCGGGATTTTGTTCAATTATCACAAAATTCATAAATTCAGTGTGACAGGTGTTATCTCCTGATATAACACTGTTTCCGACTGTCAAAATTCCGCTGAAACGGACATTCTTTTCGTTACTTATTATTTGTCATAAATTTCATTTTAGAATAGAATAGAATAGAAGTGTCGGCGTTGAAGACATAGGCCCATGGCCTGTTGCCGATTCTTGAACTTTTCGTGACTTGATTCACAAGGGATCCGGCCTTTGGAACCCGATCTTTCCATAACTGACGATTGCTACCAATTATTCGAACGTCGATCTTCATCGAATTATTCATTAAAAACTAGATTCCCGACATTCTGATTAGTCTTTTTAACTTTGATTAAAATAAAGCATATAGCATTTAACAGTGTCCCACATGAGCGGCTGTTGCGTAAATTGAAGTCTTTGGGAATTGAGAGTAATGCACTCAAATGGATCAGAGATTTTCTAGTAGGGAGGTAGGGAGGCGACGACGTGTCAGTATTAATGGGTCCGTATCAGACTGGGCTTCAGTGCGCAGCGGCGTGCCACAAGGAAGCGTTCTCGGGCCTATTCTATTCGTTGCGTTTATAAACGATCTGCCAGAAGCTGTGTCTAGCGTTTGCTCGATGTATGCTGACGACACAAAAATTTATAATACGGTGAAGAATACGTCGCAAAAAGTACAGTTGCAAGGGGATCTTGACAGGCTGGTTGACTGGGCTCATAAATGGCAGCTGCGTTTTAACGCTGACAAATGTAAAGTTATCCACCTTGGCAAGAATAATGAACAGCAAGATTACAGTATGAGAAGACACGGTTGCAACGACAGAGTGATGATGTCGAAGTCGACAACGGAAAAGGATTTAGGAGTTAATATCGACAATTAGTTGAAATTTTCTAAGCATATTGAAGGTCAAGTTAATAAAGCCAATCAACGACTTGGACTGATCAGACGCTCTTTCGAGTTCCTAGATTTAGAAACGATGAAGCAGTTGTTTGTTGCTGTCGTGCGCCCGAACCTGGAGTTTGGAAACGTCGTGTGGTCACCGAAATTTAAAAGGACAAAAATTTAGTAGAGAGTGTTCAAAGACGCGCAACAAGGATAGTTCCGGGCTTGAAAGGCAAGTCCTATGAGGAAAGATTAAAGATTATGAAGCTTCCAAGCCTCCATTATCGACGTCTGCGTGGGGACCTCATTGAAGTATACAAGTATACTCATGGCTTATACAAGGTAACAGAAGCATCCGTCCAGTCGTTTTTGAAATAGAAAGAATGTGACAATTTTTCTAATTCAACCTGAAATTTTCTCGGAAACATAAAATTTATTTTCTCCCCAGTAAATTTTCAATAATTATTCACGGGAGACATCCTTCAGTGTACTCTTCATTAAAATCCATGAGTTCTATATATTTTCCATACCATTTTTCACTTCCACGGATCATTATCATTTCCTACTTAGTTATATTCATCGCTTCCCAATACATCAAGATGGTGGACATCCCATCCGGACGTGTGGCGAGTGCAAGGTTATGTCGCGGTAGAAAACGGCGAGGTTTTTCGATGTCTGGTTTTAGGGGTTAAAACCTGCGATTAGCACGTGTGACCTTTTCTTGCATGATTCCATGGTTGGTCTAATATAAGGTTGACCAACGGCGATGACGATTTTCGCCGTTCTGCGCATCTCTAGAGTGACGTCACTGTGGGTACAAAATGTAAATAGTGTAGATCGGTGGTTCCCAAACTTTTGCGTGTGGGTCAACCTTGTATAAGTTGACCCACGACCAAGCCTGCGTGTGGGTCAACCTTGTATAAGTTCAACCATGCATGATGCGATGCTCTTCCGGAACTCATTTGTATTTAGTCTTTCGGCAGCTACTGATGCCAGATTTGCACATTCACATGTCGATAGTTAGTTTCTGTGACCATCTTAGTGCCAATTTTGAATTATTCAACCTAAATTTACCGATTGTTCATTTGAATTCATTACAGTTAGATCTCGTCAAAGTTTACTTCCGATTTGTTAAGAGTTCATCACCATGGGCATTCTCCTTAGTAAGTTACTAAGCTACCGTGGCTAATAATGCAGTTTCTTGGAACATAGTTTTCATTTGTGATAACTATTTAAGAATGATTGAACTAAATTGTCTATTCATGGTTTCTTTCGGAAAATCATATATCTTGCTGTATTATCCTTGTTTTCAGTTTACAAACTCTGCTTCCGGAAATAAAATTGATTCCTCACTGGACTTTAACTTTGGAACTGATGATCCGTTAACTCGGTCAACAGTGCGAAGAAATCTTCTTCTTCTTCTTCGGATCCGTTTTTATGAGGACTCGGTTGTTCACCACCCGCCTCACGTCTGGATGGTCAGCAATGGCCAGACTGGAGCGGCCTGTGGATAAAAGGCCAGATTAGACTTTGAAAACTTCGAGGTTGTTTTGTTAGTTCAACAAGCTACTTCAAATTAGATTAGTAAATCGAGCAATGTTAGTCACCCTTACCTATCGGAAGGGCCTACCCAGACAGGGAGCATGGGTCAGATGGTCCAGCCTGGGCTGGTGGTGCGAAGAACTCGAAATCCGTCAGGTAACCGAGACGCGTGAAGAACCAAGTCCTCAGAAAGTGGACAAAAGATGATGAAGATGGTGGACGTCTGGTTACTCTTCTGCATTGATATCATTTTTGTCATCATTATCCATTCAGTTATTGACAGCTGCTTGAATGATAGAGAAGAGCTTCTGTACTACGAAACGCCCACCATATTCACTCGAGTAAATTGATGGACCGAAATGCAAAATCGAAATATCTTACTGAGGTCTCAAGTTAGAAGTCTGTTTATGTTACTCCTGTTCAATACCTTTTCTTATTGGGTTCCCGTTAGGCTTGAATAAGTGTTGTCGGTTCATTTCTCATCATGGACATACGTTTAAGGAAATTATTAAAAGTTTGTACCTAAGATGCGAAAAGTATTAATCGTTAAAGGTTTTTGTTATTCGTGATGGTAATAATATATCATTTCCCCAATCTTTTTCCACTTGAAAGCATTTTTCCCCTCGCATCGTAAATTCTTTCAAAGTTTGAGTGTTGAAAAAAATTCCGCCTCCACAAAAAAAAATTCCGCACTTCATATTTTACTTGCGTTAATGGCACTTCATTTCTGGAGCAAATCATACGCGATTTCTTGGAAATAGAATATAAGAATACAATTCTTCTGCTAACTTCAAATCAGGGGCTAGCTAAATAATTACCATATACGTAATCGTTGAGAATTAGGATGTTATCTAGCTTTGTAAATGACTAAGAATATCGCATCACTCATTTATAATTTAATTGGCGTGTTGTCAGCTAATTACTATTCCTTAATTATTTAACATGTATTGATACTTTTATTATTGCATCACTAAATGTTTTATCCAGCATTCAATTCATTATTGAATTATTTCAATAGCTGCTCGTACTACATATGCTATAACGGGGCATAAATTGAGGCCAATCTTTATTTCTCGTGCTACTGCGTTAATACTAGTTTAGAGACAATTAAAATTAAATAATGTTAGAGACAATTAAATCAAAACAATAATACTGTTCAACAATTAAAATATTTTGAAAGTAGAGACTCTCATATGAAAGAAATGACTCTTATATATTTTGACAACATAACTTAGAGGTTTGCTTATATCGGTAGATCCATTTGTTGAGCTTTCACTGTGCGATGGCATGGTAGTATCACGGTTATGGGATTGAATGAAAGCCAAGTCTTCTGCTAAGGTTTACTTCAACACCGAAAGAAAGAGCAACCTGCTCTGGCCGAAGACAAGAAGCAAGCGAGTGATAGGCGAAGCATGTGCTTCCTCTTACAGGGAAATAAGGCAAGAGACAAAAAGTTACGCTAGAATCCGACAACTCGCAGTGCATGATGCAGATAGGTGATACGTTTATTCTAACACCATTCAACTCGCTGCTAAAACGCTTAGACGCCGCGACATGAGCCAAACTACGCCTGTGTAGAATAAAGATTTTTAAGTGCTGCTTGGCCCAGTGGTTAAAGTTCAGAGTACCAAGATTGGCGCAGAGAGGCGCGGGTTCGATCCCAGCTCTGTGCGCCAGTTTCTGGTCAGAATCGGCGAGGAGGCCGGGCGGTTAAGCACAGCAGAATTGAAGCAGTGACTTGCGAGTTCGAGACCGCAAAATGCTGTGAATGTTCTGTGATGTTGAGAATCAGCGACAGGCCTACGGCCTAATAAACGCTGAAACCGCTATTATTATTATTACTATTATAAGTGCTGTTCAACAATTAAATATTCCGGAGGCGATGTCGGTATCACTTTAGACTAAGTGCATCCAAAAAAAGGGTGTTTTTTTAATTATATGTTTTTTGGGGTGTAGATTAAGAATCTGAAATCCGTTTTTAGCGGTACCGATTTTTTCCGATTTTTTATATATTTTCTATAGAAAACGACAATGTGGGACCAATGGGGAACCGGGGGTTTTAGGGGGGGGACACGCCCGATGCTCTAATTCGTCAAAAAAAATCGGGCAAAAATCGGCAAAATCGGCGAAAATTTTGAAAAAATCAGATTTTTTTTGACTGGAAATGATCTATATCGATCTGGGAATGACTGTAAACCTATGTAAAACTCAAAAATCGCGCTAGGTTAGGTTAGGATTAGGTTAAAAAATTGGAAAAAATTGGTTTTCCGATGCCGACCGCCAAAAACGGATTTCAGATTCTTAATCTACACCCCAAAAAACATATAATTTAAAAAAACACTTTTTTTTTTAATGCACTCAATCTAAAGTAATACCGCGATGTCTGTTACAACTCTACACAACACACAGCGTGCTTTTGGGAGCGGTATCGAGAATGCTGCACTCGAAGTCGTAGACTGCGAGTGGGAAGTTGCCAACAATCAAGCATTTCTCCATGCCGTAGTGGGGGTTCTTGAGGTACCACGGGAAGGGGTAGTTCGCGGGCAACACAAGGCTGGAGGAGAGCGCCGTGTACGACCCGTTGCTTCGACGTTGCAGGTCAACGGAAACCCAGGTTTTGCTCCTGATGCTCATCACTGCTCGGTCCTGAGAATTGTATGAGATTAACAAAAGAGATTAAAATTAATTGTGTGAGATTAAAATTAATTGGTGGCCTCTAAGTTTTTGACTACTATAAGAGCAAACACCGATTGATTCTGACACCTGCACTTGCGCGACAGGTTGAGACTGATTGATATACTGTAATGAAGTGTTGCTGCAAATTTCCCACTACTGTCTGTCAGACTACGAAGTTTAAGTAGGACCGACTCTGACGTCGGTGTTAGGTTCAGTATAGCCGTCAGATACTATGCCGATCCCGACTTGCGTCCTGGTTCCTCTCTTATAGGATTTTGACTCAGACGCCAGGGTGAGTTGTGTGCTATAGTGGTGAAATCTAGCTTGAAATACTTGATGGAATATAGTGATTTTTATGTATTTATGACTTGTCATGCGTAGATATTTACTTTCCGTTTTCTGTTGTAGGATCGTGCGTTATTCTCGGATCTCAATGCTCTAGCTCTCTCCTCGCATTTTGCTCTCGTCGCACTTTAACTTCCTCCGCATTTAATTTGTTAGTTCGTTTAATTCCTATGCCGCACCCGTTTGATTTGTTTAATTTCGATTTGCCGTTTATCTTTAATAAATAAATTTAAGAAAGTCTGTTTGAGTAACTATCCGCTCAGTCCAAGCTCTTGCTGATAAAACCAATAGGGAAGTTGAATTTAATTTCCGGTCATTGGTGGACGTGACAATTAGACCATCCGAACTTTGAGGTGACGCGATTGATTAGCTATTATTCAAGATTAGTTCGTCACATATACCAATGCCTGTGCACGTATGGTGTGTTGCTGGATTTTTTGTGTAACCGTAATCTCAATATCAAATATTGTTGGCTGAATTGTTACTTTGAGGTATTAAGGTGATCGTATTATTATGTTATATTTATCGCATAGGAAAGTTATCTTCTTGAGACTTCTATTGAGATTCCTATTACAGGTAGCGTCAATTTAAGAGCAAAAAAATTTACCCCACGAAAAATAAATGGAGGAGGTATATATCCGCCAAAAAGCAACTAATATCGATATAAAAGGGCAAGGCTCATTAATTCTCTTCATTAAGCGGACCATTTGTATTATTCATTATTTTATGCACCTTGAGGCTAACTGGGTACGGGACCAGCCTCAGTCCGATACCGCTGCAGAAGTCGTACGCTTGTCTGCTCAAAAATTCAGATACACTCTTCAAGTGACGTCATTCCAGTAGCATTTTACAGCTGCGTGTATCCATAGTATATTAATATACATATTTCAAGACAGAATATTTCAGATACAATAAATCAGTTGAGGTCATGCGGAGTATTGTCGCAGCAAAATTTCAATCCTGGGTCTATACTTTAAAAAAAGTTGAGAGATCGTAAGTTCATCAGCCAATCATTGACGGCCTTTCAAGCCAAATCCACCAATCATAGACAAGAAAGTAGATCGTAAGTACTTACGTTCACTTAGCGAGTTTTTGAAAGTTTGGCCCCAGAATTCCAAACAACCAAGGCTGGCCGTGACTTACTGCCAGGAAGTTCCCGAAAATGGGATTTCAACGACCGTCGCGCTGCTGTCGGTGCTGAGAATCGCGTAGGCTGACGACACCAGCGTTGCTGTGGCTCCAGGTACGGTAGAGTCCACGACGAACCTGCATGACTGCGGCTGAACAAGAGGGACCTCAATTATTAAAGAAATCCCCACGTCAGTGACAAATAAACAAAGGTGGGCAGTAGCTCGCTACATGTAGCGGCCGCTACATTTTCAGTAGCGGTAGCGGTTAGCGGCGCTACATTTCAAAGTAGCGCTGCCCAGCTCTGCAAATAAAATAGTATCCGCTGCGCATCGGAAAAGTCAACTTGTATTAGTTGTTCTAGCATTTTAATTTTATGCCACCTTGAAAGCGAAATGCGAGAAGCTGGAATAAGTTGTTCGTGCAGTACTGCTCTACGGCTTTAGCGTTACAGCTGTAGGGCAGTACTGGATAAAAATCATATTCTTCTTGAAACAACAAGCTAATTAGAAGAGTAGAGATCGTCTAAATACAAAGGTCCAGTATAGGAGAAAGTTTTTGAAACGAGAATAATATCTAAACATTTAGATTAACATGCATTTGAAAACAATAATAAAACATCCGTATGGAAGACATTGGATTACGGAACTGGACTGCAAGGTTCTGTTGCCAACCCTTGCTATATATAGTGTTATTGTGGCAGGTAAAATTTAGTTTATTGCTTTCATAAGTTAATTCCATATAAACTGCATCTTCAATGAAGCATCAGAAACATTTTAAAACAAACTTTCATTTAAATCGCGCCTTCTGTCATAAAGAAGCCTGTAATTTCATATTTTTGCGATCTTTTAAACCATTATCTGACAAAATATTCCCCTCTAATTTATAAAGGTTGTGTGAGCCTCTAGCTTCAACATAACGTTAATTTTAATAGTAAATTGATAGTTGAAGTAGGCCGTCCTCCCTCAACATACGTCGCTGTCGTCGGAATTTTCACTGTTCCCTTTACCACGTTTTACTGATTTTCACTTTCAGAGCTGTTAAACTGTTAGGTACCAATTAAACCCAGTTTAGGCAAGGGGCTTTATGGACTAGTTTCCAGTGCTCCTATAAAAATAAATTAGACAGTTTAGGCAAGGGGCTTTATGGACTAGTTTCCAGTGCTCTTATAAGAATAAATTAGACAGTTCAGGCAAGGGGCTTTATGGACTAGTTTCCAGTGCTCCTATAAGAATAAATTAGACAGTTTAGGCAAGGGGCTTTACGGACTAGTTTCCAGTCTTCCAGAATAAATTAGACAGCTTAGGCCAGGGGCTTTATGGACTAGTTTCCAGTGCGCCTATAAGAATAAATTAGACAGTTTAGGCAAGAGGCTCTATGGACTAGTTTCCAGTGGTCCTGTAAGAATAAATTAGACAGTTTAGGCAAGGGGCTCTATGGACTAGTTTCAAATGCTCCTATAAAAATAAATTAGACATACATCGTTGTCAAGCCACGCAACGCCTCCGCAGCGTTCGTCCTGCAGGCAGAGGCCGGCGCAGTGCAGCAGCGACGCCGGCATGCCGGCGCTGGGCGGCGGCGCTAGCAGCGACAGCTGCGACGCGAGCAGGTTGACCAGCCGAAAACTGCCCCAAACTCCTTGCATGTTTACGACTGATCTGTTGCAAAGCGTATTCCGATTATTCGCAAGTAAGTTAGTTGCTTTTGTTCCGTTCTATTCATTCAATTTCGTTATATCATCAGGTTTCATTATGGAGTTACATTTAAGTATAAGAATGAATTTGGTTATTTCTGAATAACTGCAAATTATACCACAATAGATTCAGGAAATTTCCATCGAGCTCAGCAATATTGAAATGGTATTAGACGTTAGAAATACTTCTATTCTTAATTTTTCAGCAGTTGCAAGCAGTATTTTCAGACCCTTGTAAAATTTTTTGCTAGGCAAATGTTTGTTTCAACAAAAGAACTGTTCAGCTTTGGGCATATGTCTGCAATCTGCATGCTTGAGCTGATTTTTGATGCTGCCCCAAACTCCTTGCATGTTTACGACTGAAACTTTGCTGTGTGATCGAAATAAAAATTATTTGGAGGTAGTAGCTTTTTAAATTAGTTTGAATTTTGATTAGTAGATATCAATAAAGTGAACAAATGGGAAAAAATGCAGAAGAAAAGACGTGACATGAAATAGTTCAGTAGAATGTCTTTCATTGAAAATCACAACACTACTGCGGTGACAATGATAATTAAAATATTACAGCAACCTCACTACACATATTATTCTCTACAGTACTCAGGTAGAGACTAATACTTAATTGATTATTATCTTTGTAATTGGGAAAGTTCAACAAGCCACTGAAACAATTTGGTATCTGGTATCCCACTTATATTTTTCGAGCGATTAGAATGCACATTTTTAATAGTTGTATTTATCCACTTCAGTTATTAGGCCACTGATCTACTGATATGAAAATAACACAGTGTTCCTTGAAATATACGCGAGCCAACAGCACTGCTGCTTTTCCATTTGTATATATTTATTTGGTATGTATTATATGTACGGTAAGTAATCATATAATATCATAATGATGTCGGCGCTGGAGAATAAGCCATGGTGTGGCCTGTCGCCGATTCCTGTACTTTTCGTGATTTGTTCACATGAGATCTAAAAACAAGTCCTTTGAACGGATCTTTTCCAATCTGACGATAGTTTGCAATAGCTACCAGACCTCCACCGGGTTCGATATGGTGCTAGGCTTTTCAAGTCTGTACATATTTATATTTCTCCGAAGCTTTATCTAGTCTGTTCTTGAACGCGTTTATACTCAGAGCGTCAACGATGCAATCACGGAGGCTCTTCCACATGTTGGTGATTCGAAGCGAGAAGAGATGTTGTCGCGTGGATAAGTTGCAGCGCAGTTTTTAGATTATAGCCGTGGTCCCTGGTGTTGGTTCTTGTTTCAAATTCTAGTAATCCTTCTGGGACCTTGATAAACCATGAGTATACACAGAGGTGGGCAGTAGCGCGCTACATGTAGCGGCCGCCACTAGCGGCCTCTACATTTTCAGTAGCGGTAGCGGGTCTACATTTAAGGCAATGTAGCGGTAGCGGTAGCGCCCGCTACATATTTAAGTAGCGATACGAGGTTTTGCCGATACAGCGCTACCGCTACATTCATAGATAAAGCCTTCAGATTTTACTTATGGGGACCGGCTACCCTCCAACAAAACTTTTTTTTTACAGACGGATCGTTTTGAAACTTGGTACACATATGTAAAACAGAAATCTAAGACCTTTTTGTTCATGTAAATTTAAAAAAATGAAAGAAAACGTGGAATTAATAGAAAACGGCAAATAAGGGGTACTCTAAAAAAAATTATAACTTTTGCAAATCACATGCTACAATGTCGAGACACATATCATTCGATTTGTAACAACAATATCTAGCGACTCTAGAGCCCCGATTTTTCATTTTCCTCATCCTTTTTTTTATTCGCGTTCTTCCCATTTTTTCACATTTTTACCCCCCAACCCCTCCACCTCCCATCAAACCATGCACATATTAAAAAAGGCTTCTAGAGTCGCTAGGTATTGTTTTTACAAATCGAATGGTATGTCTTACATTGCCGTAGCTTGAAAACTGTTGGAGTTATAATTTTTTAAGATGGCGTTTTTTGGGATTATTAAATTGTTCAGGGGAGCCAAATAAAGTCAAATTCATTGAAAACAGAAGAATATGCCCTAAAAGTCTTGATATTGTAGCCCAAGCTTTCCCATTGCCAATTATTTGCATTCAGGGTAGCAGCAAGCGTCTTTAGACCTATTTATGTTCAATTTGACGTGAATAATAGGCTATAAATGGGACTTTTTATATATAAATATATATATATATAACATGGATGTCTACTTTAATCTACCAATCTCAAAAATAATCCACATATATATACAAAAAAAGACTGATTTTTATATGTATATGTGGATAATTTTTTAGATTGGTAGATTAAAGTTCACATCCATGTAGGAAAGGTAAAACATAAAAATAACCGTAACTTTTATTTGCTGTATCTAACCCATACTAGTTCGGTTAGGTTAATTGCAATAAAGTTGCATTGATATGTTTTAAAAAATGTTTTATTATCATTAAATGTTAATGAGTAAATCCAATTAGCAGAACAATAAATATTAAGAGATTTCTAATAATTTTGGCCATTGTAGCGGCTAATGTAGCGCGCTACATTTTACTGTAGCGGTAGCGTCCGTTACAATCTAGTGGATGTAGCGGTAGCGGTAGCGCCCGCTACATTTAGAGCATGTAGCGGTAGCGGTAGCTGCGCTACATTTCAAAGTAGCGCTGCCCAGCTCTGAGTATACATATATACTTTATTGAGGCCCGCACGCAGACGTCGATAACTGAGGCTTCATAATCTTTAATTTTTCTTCGTAAGACTTGCATGCCCTTCAAGCCTGGAGTAATAATGTGTTCTTCGTGCACTCTCCAAAGTCTAAACTAATGAACGCTGCCATGTTCCTCAAACGCAATTCATACGGCCATTTTCAACACAATTACCTATCCGAGACATTGCTGTTCAAGCCGATATTATTTCATTCCGTTCGATTTTATAAAAGTACTTGATAAAAATTTGAGTAAGTAGAAAGAAACGCATCATCTAAAAAATAAAATAAACTCAAAAGACTAACGAAAGTAATATCTATTGTATATACATTATATATTATTTAAAACAATGGGTTTCCTTAAGTAAAACACATTCAAGCTATGGTATTTTCAATAAATGATCTTTTTTATTTCTTGTGAAAGAAATTTTATCAATTGAATTTTCGCCCGGGAAACAAACGTAAAATTAAAGTTTTCCGTAAAAATCTAAGACGTTCTTGAATAAATTAGCTTATCGCCAAAAATTAAATGAGAGATAATAATTTGTCTGAAAGACTTGTAAAGTACGACTACCGCGGCATCCGGGTAAGAAGACATACGCTTGTACTATATGTACGCTTATACGCTTGTACTTTTACGCTTATGCGCTTGTGTTTTTTACTCATATACGCTTGTAGCTTACGCTTATTTATTTTATACGCTTATTTTGTACGCTTATACGCTTGTGCTATGCACACTTGTGCTTTTTACGCTTATACGCTTGAATCTTGTACGCTTTGCCGTCTGTTTAGGTTAAAAAATAAGAGTAAGTTTCAAGGGAGCATAAGAACTAATTTTTTCTATGTAGTTGATAAAATACTTTAAAATACAGTCCCGAAAATTGTATCATAAATACCATAAATACCGCAGCCGATGAGAGATGAACTACGTTGAACAACACGCACGACCGAATGACGAAGCCAGCAGAACGACCTAAGCTAACAAAGCCTTTGTCTACTGACGGTAACTCTAGTTACCTCGCCATCACAAACGAAAAAAAACAGTCACAATGAATACTTTTTCTAGAGACTGTTGGTCGATCATGGACGAGAATTGGACCAACTTTTCAAAAAGTTCCGAGGAGTGTTGACTTATCCGCAAGTTATAGCGCATTTACCGAAGTGTTTTATGCTGTCCTGCACGGTTGGCCCCTAATAAGTTGCCTTAATCGGATGAAGTCACGCAAAACGCACATCAGTTCTGCTAGTGCGATGTGTTCGTAATGAAGACAAAAAACTCAAAAACTGCCGAGAAAAAATGTTCTTCATCGGGTACAGACATTTTTGCGACCCAGAGTGGCAGGTTGCATGTCTTTGGAAGACATGAAGTTGCGTTACAAGTAAATTTTCGGTACTGCATTTTAAAGTATTTTATTAACTACATAGAAAAAATTAGTTCTTATGCTCCCTTGAAACACGTTGTTAGTGGGTAGAAAAATAGAAAAATAATTCTACACCGATAGTTTTCATGTACAACCTGTAAGGCCCTTGCATGCCATCTGTAAGGCCCTTGCACGCCACCTGTAAAGCCTTCGCATGCCACCTGTAAGGCCATTGCATGCCACCTATAAGGCCCTCGCATGCCACCTGTAAGGCCCTCGCATGCCAACGACGAAAACTTGAGGTCACGGACGGACGGACAGACAGACGGACATGGCGAGCACAATAGAGCATTTTTTCCATAAATGAGAAAATGCGCTAAAAACTGCGCTACAACTTCTCCACGCGACAGCATTCCTTCTCGCTTCGAATCACCGACACGTGGAACATCCTCCCCGATGACATCGTTGGCGCTCCAAGTATGAACGCGTTCAAGAACAGACTAGATAAAGCTATGGAAAAATATATGTTCAGACTTGAAATGCCTAGCACCTTATCGAACCCGGTGGAAGTCTAGTAGCTACTTCAAACTATCGTCAGTCATGAAACGATCCGGTCAACTGACACGATTTCAGATCTTCTGTGAACAAGGCACGAAAAGGAAAAGAATCGACGACAGGCCACATCAGGCCTACGCTTTAGCGCTCACATCACTATGTTATGTTCAGATTTGTCAACATGGTTTATTGCCGGTAGATCCTGCACCACTAACTTATTATCTACGTTGAATGATTGGACTCGCCTGCTGGACGAAAGGGAGCCAGTGGATGCATTGTACCTCGATTTTGCCAAAGCATTTGACAGTGTTCCGCATGAGCGGCTGTTGCGTAAAG